TGAATTCCTTAGGGTGGTGCCAGTCTCATCTTCTTTACCTTCCCACGCTCCTGCTGGGGGCCAAGGAAATGCTTATCTCCCCGAGCGCGGCCTTCATCAAACCATTCCATCACAATTCCTCACACCAAGTTGGGATACCTTTCACCCTACTCCTTCAAAATGTTTTCAATATATTCTATAACTGCAACTGTAGAATAAAGAACAGATCTGCCTAGTATATTAGCTTATAAGTTGTCTAAATTTAATAACTCCCCTCCACCTCCATTAAGATTTATAATTTGTTCTTCTTTCTTCTGTATCATTACTTTCTTGACTAATGAATACAACACAATGATAAGAGTTGGGGGAATGTTCTCCAGCCATTCATTCACAATTTGTTCTCTCTAGTCCTCTAATTATGATAACTGCTATTTAATGGGAGATAAATAAGAGGTCTCTGAATTAAAAATGTGATTATTTCTTACCATGCTAGAAAGGAGGTATTTATGAATCAAAGAAAGAATAATGCTTCTTGAAGACAATCATATCTTATTTAATCGTTGCATTCCATTTATTGTTAGGTGTACTTAAAGGAGAAAAAATAGACACTATCACTTTTATTTCTACTAGAGAAACTAAATAATGGGAACATCTGATTGAACAACTGACAGCACAAATTAGAGATTCAAATGAAAATTAATACTTGGTTTATTTAAAAAAATCCTGTTTTCAAATGTTTAGCATCCCTGAGGATATAGGGCTGCTTTCCATTGTTTTCTTCCATCTATATGGAGAAACATGTATAATGTGATTACTGGACATTGTACACTATTATAATACACCTACTTCCTTCATAATCATGTCTTTAGAAGAGAAAGGCAAGAAACATACTATTTTAATTCTGTTAAGATTCCTTTGCCCAACACCCTGTATAACTGCAAAAACAGCCAGAATTACTCATGAAAATCATCAAATGAGTGAAGTACCAAGTTAAAAATACATGCAGTTCTGAAGTAAACACATAGAAAGAACTTCAGAGTTGCCAGTGCTTTATATGTATGGCATAGACGCAACCTGGCTTTCTCAAAATGGTAAAAAAACAATATAGATTATTTGATCCAAAAAACTTCACCCCACAACTAAAAATATTTGTGTTAGATTTGCACATATAATTAAGAGGACCAATGTAAAGTGTAAGTAGCAGACACCAGAAGCACTTTTGTCAATAATATTGAACTATTAAAGTCTCTTTAAAATTATTTATCACATTAGATTTTTACTTTTGTAATTTTTTTGCTACAGCCAGTTTTTATGAAGAGTTAACTGTTTTGTATATTATACATTCTAAAATGTTTATGTAAGAATATCATTGGAACTATTTATTCAAATCTGTAAATTTACTACAGGAAGTACCCAATATGGATACTACAACATGAAAATAGAGTTGCCAGTATAAACATACAGAAATAAGAAACATACATTTTAAAAGCTATTAAACTTTTAAAACTTTTCCCTCCTCTACAGGCTGCCTGAAAATAGCGATTCCTGTTATTATTTGGACACTCCCCCTGCTTTTACTCTAACAAACACTGATTAAAAATTACTTCAAAGCATAACCCTGTATTTTAACAACATTTTCATTTAAGAAGAGTTATAGTATCTCAAATTTATAGCTTATACAAAGAGACCTAGAAAGCAAGTTTATCTTGTTAATGTGTGCTTCATGTAGAGAACATAAGAAGATAAAGAGAACAGACAAGAGACAAATGGATGTAGGCACAAAAGGTGGAAGTCCAGCCAGATGCTCTTACCAGGCGCTATCTGGAAGGGGCTGCCACAGCTGGCCACATCAGCATGATCAGGCAAAGGCTAGGGAGGGAAACACAAGGAGTCACCACATCACAGCAAGGATCAGCATCTCATTAACATGTCTAGCTCTAATTCCCACCATTAGGCCTCTCATAACATCCCAATGTCAGTTATGAAATTTTAACAACATTCAAATATGATGCTCACTTCCCAGTTCCTATAACACTCCCATCCCTCTCAGCAGACAACATTAAGCTTTGCTCAAAGGAAATGTTTCTAAAATTTCATTTAAACTGAATGCTGAGAGAATTGGGAGGGACAAAATAATCAAACAAAAACTATGATTTACTCAAGCTTGACTACCAGCCTTTTGTACCATGCTGTCTTCTACTCATCCATAAGCTATTAACTATGATGTTTGACACATTTTTAAAATTTCCCATTTATGCTTTGCCCATATTAGAAGTTTAAAGATACTTCCCTAACCCCACCCCCAGGAAAATATGAAAATGCCCAAGAAAAAAATAAACTTATATTTTGACCATGAAATTAATCTTTTTGTTTACTTGGGTCCCATTTTTCTTTTTTGTACTTTTTCAATTTTTTTAGTAACCAAAAACTCCCTGAATCAATTACAATATATTGTTATTATTTATCTGTATAAAAGCTCACTCATTATTCAGAAAATTAGCAGGTATTATTTTTTTCTGAAATATGACTCCCCACAGATTATCTAAATTCTAATCTTTTCAAAAATCATTGTTTGACAATGACAAAATATGCCTTATTGAAATTCATGGCCACAGAAAATTATTGGAAAGGTAGCACTTTCCATGGGGTGTGATAAAGGTGGCATTTATGGCACCTTTATCACTCCCCATCCTGTGATGTTTTGCTTTCAAATGCTAACAAAGTGACATGTAGCCATGCATTATCCAGGGGTTAAAAAATCATAAAGTCAAATTGAAGCACTTTCTATTCCAAATCACCAGTTCTCTGCTGCATAACTTCATCTGCTCAAAGAACATCATGCTCTTGATTGTACCTTCCCTGCAAAAGCTTCATTAGGCCACATCCCATTCTTGGAAGTCTACACCTCAGTGTTCAAACTTCTGTATGGAAAAGATGAGTTCTGTTCCTGGCTGCACCTGCAGTGACTTTGTGCTGCTATAATTTATTAATTTCCAGTCACGTTCACCATGGACTCCAGACCTAAAAAGAATCAGGAAGTACATGCTTCATATTCCACTGAATCACTCCCTTTTAATTTAAATTTTGACACAGGAGCACATTGTCCTTGGTTTTCCAAGTCAGGTCACCTCTCCTTAGGTTACAGGGATAGTTTGTAGAGAGAATTTCTTTGTACAGCTGATTCTGCCCCTATTAAGAAAAAAATATGGAAAAAGTACAGACCTAGAAATGCTTAATATTAAATAAAGAATTGGGATGATTGGAAAACAAGAAAGATAGAAGACATGCACAGAAGCTTGAAATTGGGAAAATTGGAAAAATGCAGGTAATTTTCCTTTTAAAGAGTGCTCCAAAATACTCAAACAAGGACATGACAATACAACAAGGAAAAGAATCTATGATTTGGAAGCAATCAGGACAGTGAAGGCATTGATTACAGTTTGCCTATTTCTACTACACTAAGCTAGAATAATATTTATAAAGCAAGCAAGCACAACATCTTGAGTCTTCCTCCGCACAAGTACACACATTCATTCTCTTTCCATCTCATTTGTTAGAGAACCGGTTACCCCTCTTAACTTATTCAAATGGAAAAGGGGCCTTCACCTATGCAGAGCTGTAGCAATTATGCTAATTTGACTGTACCTTTAATCAATTCATGGCAATAATTTCAGACCTTGTGCATTCCTTAAAGGTTGTTTTGCCAGGACCAAGATGGTTAAAAAAGAAAATATATGCAAGATGTATTTACAAACAATGCTACACCAGTTTTTAGACCATGTTGCACAGGTTCCTGAAAACATCCTACAAAAAATACACACAAGCACTAGCTTTTACGTAGATTCAAACCCAAATTCTCCTTATATTAAAATCTATGTTCCTCCATTTTCAAATTATTGCCTCTCGTATTTCTACGTATCAAAAATTGCTTCCCCTAATTTTCCAAATTCACCTCCCCCAAAAGTTGTATTATTAGAACAAAGCTGTAAATTAAAAGAATCAACTATGTAATTTGTCACTCACCTGCAAGCAAGCAGCAACAGTCCTTAAATGAGCACTCAGGATGAAAACTAATCCTCCTCATCTTTTTCTTTGTGTCACACTATTTAGATTATAAACCTATGAGCAAGGTAATTCTTTTTTTATTTGTGCATGTTTCTCTGGGAGCTTCTTTTGCTGATAAGCGAGGTAAAAATGCTTTATAAAAAATAACAAACTGCCTCTATTGCAAATAATATACCTGCTCTCAGTGGCAATTGATACCATTGATCATGATATTCTCCTGGACCTGCTTAAGGTGTCGGGAGTGAAAGGCACAATTTTGTAGTATCTTTCCTCCTCCCTCCTAGGTTGGTTCCAGTTGGGTGTTAACAGGAGGGGAGAGGTCCAGCTCTAGGCCCCTGCCATGTGGAGTGCCTCAGGGCTTGACTGTCTCTCCACTCCTATCTAGCATCTACATGAAGCTGCTGGGCAAGGTCATCCGTCAGCATGGGAAAGGTATCATCAGTATGCTGATGATGCCCAGTTGTACATCTCTATCCTGGAGATGTGACACAGTAGAGGTGCTTACCCAATACCTGGAGGCTGTCAGGGTCTGGATGGGGTGAACAGATTTGTGACTCAATCCTAGCAAGACTGAGTGTCTCTGGGTTTTTGGGCCCCCTAGTTCTGGAGATGTTCCATCAATAACTTTGGATGGGGTAACACTCCACCAGACAGAGCTGGTGTGCAATCAGGGGGTTCTCCTGGATTCACAACTCCTGCTTGAGAAGCAGGTGGCATTGTAGCTAGGATGGCCTTTGCAGAGATTCATTTTATGCACCAGTTGCACTGTTCCTAGATCAGGAGGCTCTACTCACAGCTACTCATGCTTTAGCATCATCTGTATTACTGCAACACGTTATACATGAGACTACCTTTGAAAAGCATTCAGAAGCGTCAACTAATCCATAATGCACTAGCACATGCAGTATTGGGTATACTGAAGTTTGCCCATGTAACACCTCTACTATGCTTCCAGGTGCAATTCAAAGTGCTGGTTAACACCTTAACGCCCTAAATGGCACAAGGCCAGATCCCATGCCTGTTCCAGTTGTTTCTGCCCATCTCACCAGATCTGGCAGGGAGAATGCTCTGGGTTCCCTTAGTGAAACAGTGCCATCATGTGGACCCAAGAGACATTTCTTTTCTGTTGCAATGCGTGCTCTATGGAACAGCCTCCCCCTGGAAATCAGGATGGCCCTGAACCCACTGGCCTTCAGGAAGGCTGTAACAAAACTGGCTTTTCTCACAGGCATTAGGGCCAAGTTGTTAATGGAGCCTGATACTAGTGAATTTGAGACTGAGGATTAAGTGTGAGGGGCCTTGGCTTTCATATTCTGCATTTTATACTTATGTTTGTTGCATTTGTATTTATGCTGTTTTGTACTGTGAGGTGTTGTTGTTGTTTAGTCGTTAAGTCGTGTCCGACTCTTCGTGACCCCATGAACCATA